TCGCGTTGGAAACATCGACTCTCGAGGCAATCAAACCCGAGAGCTTTTTGTTTTTGGCTGCGTGTTTGTCGGCATTATCCCCCACTCCACATAATTTAAAAAATATGGCTGTAATATGCAGATTTAATCCTATTTGGGGTTTTATGTTTTACTGTCTACATCAATCTAATGGCTCAAAACTGGGCAGAGGACCATATTCTGCTAATTCACTGGCATGAGGCCATTGTAGGCCGGACCAGCTGAAGTCAGGATTGAGTAATGGTTTTAAAATGACATTTCTGATTGGCCGAACGGACGCTGGGCTCGAACCCAAAACAGAACAGCTGTACTGCGGAGAACTGAGCTTTAAAGAGGCTGCATTTATTCCTCCTATATTTATCCTCCGAGGTCACACGCTGAAAATGCAGAAATATGCAAAGACGGCCACATCAACTAAAAAAAACGTGTAAATATAATGTATCTCCAATCTACATGTGGGTTAATGGAAATGAACTTTCCAGCCAGGAAGCGGCGTAAATCAAAGAGGCGGCGGGCGACTCAGACAATAACTGGAGCGGCATTAAAATGAAATGTCACGACACTCGTGGGTGAAGGGGAGGGAGACGTAATTGATGTCAACTTTAATATACTGGAGAAGGTAAATATTGTGTCACAACAATGGCCATAAAATGAGAAATTAATTTTAATACCAGCTGCAGTTTAAGTGTCGGGTATAAACTGGATAGAGAAAAATACTTCAGTGCTGGTAAAGTGGAGGAATGAGCAGATTCAAACCACTGACCTGGATTTGTCTTTCTGATGTCTGAAGCGGACCCGTCCACTTCTCAGCTCCTCCCAGGTGAAGGTGTTTTCTTCGGTCAGCTCCTGGCCGGCTCTCCCTCGGCCCCCCCTCCCTTCTCCTCCGCCCTCTCCGAACAGAACCAGACGCCCGTTGTTCGGGCTCTGGACGAGCTGGAAGATCAGCCGCTCCGAGGGGCTGTCGGGGTCCTTCACTTTGAGCAGCGTGGGGGACAGCGGGGAAAAACTGCCGACAGGAACCAGCAGGGAACCGTTGACCTGGAGGGCGGGTGGGTGGGCGTTGGCTGAGATGGGGAGGGGCACACAATAGATGAAGAACAATGAGAATCTATAGATTTACATTACATTGAACTGAACTTGAAAAGTCCAGGTGAAATAAGTTCACGACCAGAAACTTTTGCTTTTGAAAGACGCACGTCTTCTTCGTTAACATCGACATCAGACAAAGTGACATTTTTCAATATTCAATGTGAAGAAATGAAAGTTGAACTAAACTTCAAGCACAGACCCAGAAACCCAGAAGTTCAGAAGTTTACAAAAGAAAACAGTTTTAGATAATATGTGAAAAACAAGTTATTTTTTAATAATGATTAAACAAACTGTCAAAACACAACGAGGAACTTTGAGCTAATGACTAATTAATTTTTTATACGTCTCTAATTAAGATTACAGCAGGACCAGACCACAAGCGTGTGACAGGGAGACGACGTGTGTGTGTGTGAGTGTGTGTGTGTGAGACCTGGTGTAATAGGAGCGAGGCGTCTCGTTCTTGACGTGGCATTTTCAGAAGTTGCTTTAATTGGAGCTGACTTTGTTGAGGAACTTTTTAAAGATCAACTCGTCTGAGGGGCCACGTTGTAATCTCATTACACTCTATCTCCTCTAATGATGCCAACAGGCGCCGTAATTAACTCCGAAACTTTACTTTTGTCCATATAATCACACTCAGGCGACAATAACTGGATAATTCAAACCACTCGTTTCTCAACTTTTTCTCACGTTGGCTGGCGGCGGAAACAAAGCCATTTGTTTTCAGGCTATTTCGCTTGATTAACTTGTGGATTACTTGAATCCTGGAGGCTGAAAAATGTTCATAAATCCACAAGAAGAAAATCATTAATCGCAAAGGCCAGCGTGATAATATTTTTCTCACATTCCATAAATCCTCTCACAACCACAGCGAGGCGCCCTGACGGCCTCGGGCGTCTCCGCCCGCAGGTTCACATCCAACGAACACAAAAGCAAAAAAGTACGAGTACAAGAACTCTGCGGGAAACTCCTCAGGTGAGACACTTTGTGTTTTTAACAGTTAAAAAGTACAAAGAACTTGAAATGATCTGCAGCGACATCGCAGAACACAAACATTCGATTCAGTCGCTTCAGACACTCTTGTGAATGTGTGACAGGTGGAAAACAGGATGATATCACAGGATGAGAAAGAGGAGTCATCCAGCGGAAGACACAGACGAAGGTGTCAACGAGATTTGAGATTTTTTGGGCCGACGCCGGAGTAATGTGCTGTAAACAAACAGATATATATA